GCCTTTTGTTTTACAAACTTTGAAGCTCATTCTCCCTGGCAGGAAATAATTAACGCAGATTGTAAACACCAGGTGTGAAATTAGGGAAAACTAGTCAGGCCAACTTGTGGCTAATCAACCTTGAAAATGTTGTTTTACCCCAGCAAGTTGCAAATTGCTTTGTGAAGGTCACAGTTGTGACTTGCTAATCTATGTGACAATTATAGTGCTTAGAACTTGATAGTGATTTATAATGTAATAGTTATAGGAATAAGTAAGTTTTTGTATGGACATTAAGAAATGGTAATCATTAAAAAAATGTTAGAAGTTTATAAAATTTATAGTTAATGTTTAGGATGATAATGTTTTAAGATCAAAATAGGATGGACAAAGATACATTGCCTGTCCAGTCCATTAAATTATAACTGATTGCCTTGAAAACAAAAAACATGTAGGGTATTAAAAGGAGTTGAAAAAGACAATAAATTGGCATTTGTCCTGCTTGCAGCAGAGTCAGTGTTCAAGTTTTCTCTCCTGCACTGACGCCGTCCCTCCTTCAGGAAACCCTGATCTGCTGGAGCTGAACTCCGGCAATAAATTTAAAAATTAGCTGGACGTGGTGGCACATGCCTATAGTTCTACTTGGAAGGCTGAGGTGGAAGGATCACCCGAGCCCAGCAGGTCGAGGTTGCAGTGGCCATGAATGTGCCACTGCACTCCATCCTGCATGACAGAGTGAGATTCTAACCCAAAAAAAGAAAAATTTTTTTTCAAGCACAGTAATCATCACATTGCCAGAGTAGGGCATTGAATGGGAGTAATAGAAGATGTGATGCATCAGAAGATGTGAAATGTAGTTCAGAGTGTATTCATACCCATTTTAATTTCCTCGTTGTTGGAAACCTAGTCCCTTGCTTACCTTGAATTGCTTAATTTGCCAAAATTAGATAAACCAAAACACTTAGATGCGGGCAAAATATGGAAATTCAAAATTTGGACAAATCCTGAAGCAGGTTGAGAAATAAGTGCCAGCCCTCCCACCTGCCTCAACCTTTTGCCATTTGGGCTCATAGTTCCTGCAGGCCTGGTTTCCTGGTTCATGACTTATTATTTTTCCTATGATATTGTTAAGTCGGTACCATAAGTCACCCCAAATAAAAAAAACATTTTTGCATCGAAAACCAAATGAATACTCTCAGGTCACATGGCATCTTGTGCTATAATTCATTAGCAACTCTGTTTTGGAGTATACACATATTTAGAGAAATTAATTACAGATGACGCACATAGTTTGACTTGGAGAATCACTAACATTTTAATGTCTTTGTAGTCTTAAAATCACCTATGGCAGAAAGGGGAATTAAACAAAAAGAGGAGAGGAAAGATATGGTGTTTAAAAGGGTGTTTCTGAGATGAGTTGGAGGTGGTAGGGGAGACACTGGCTACCTTGAAAACCAAACCAAAGTCAATTGATTTTCAACATAACCCCTTCAACCTATAGAGGGCTGAGGTTTCTGAAGACAGCAATAGCTGCCATCTTAGGATAAATGGGTCACACTGGTTTGAGACTGGCTGATCAGTCAAGCATTTGGGATATGGACCACTGCTTCACAAATTGCACAAAGAACTATAGCAGCAGTGACTAGAACGAGTCATGTAAGATGTCGTATTTCTCTGGAAGCATTCTGTGCTGTTCTCTGTGCAGCCTTTAGTTGAATACCATTCAATGCCACCTGAAGGAAAGAAAAGAGGTATAGATAAGAGAATCTCTTGGAGGTACAACCTATGTGGTCTCAGATGCTTCAGATAACGAATAGCATTTTTTTAAAAAAGCGAAACAAAGCAAAAACTCTAGGTGTATCAAGATATAAATCTAAAATTTCTACCATTGGCCGGGTTTGGTGGCTCAGCCTATAATCCTGCGCCTTTGGGAGGCTGAGGTGAGTGGATTGCCTGAGCCCGTGGGTTCGAGACCTGCCTGGGCAACTTGGTGAGACCTCATCTCTACAGTAAATCAAAAGATCAGCCGGGCGTGGTAGCGCATGCCTGTAATTCCGGCTACTCGGAAGGCTGAGGTGGAAGGATCGCCTGAGCCCAGCAGGTCGAGGCTGCGGTGGCCGGGAGTGGCCACTGCACTCCAGTCTGGGTGACAGGGTGAGACTTCAACTCAAAAAATAAATAAATAAATAAATTAAATAAATAAAATTTCTACCATTAAGAATGGTTTGTTTTATCATCTTGCCTTTAAGAACTCCCATTTAAACTATTCTAGCTGGGTCCATTGCATGCACACACTTTGCATGAAACTGCAAAACAAAAAAGCGTTCAAACTCAGATTATAAAGCCATGCAATGGACTATGTAGAAATTTCTGGAGCAGTAGCTATTTGGAAGATTCCTGATAATCATTCCCCAGGTTTACCCAGATTGTGAGTTATTCAAAGGGTTGAATCCACAGAAGGATCATTTTGAAGTGTTACGTGTCTCTCAGAAATGGAAGCTGATCCATAACCTCCCTTAATTTGTTCCCTGATTAAAGAAGTTTACTGCAGAAAATGCAAAAGATGCACAAAAGTGAGAAACAAGTGATAGTTAACTTCCTGTAATCCTGCCACCCCGAGCTTCAATTGTATGGAAGGGAACAAAAGAACCGATTCCCCAAAGGCAGCAAAAAATTGATGACTAGAAACTTAAGATAACAGTAGCATCTCTACTGGGGATGATTTTTCTCTCCCTTCCCCAGCACATTAGATAATACCCAGAGATATTTTCATTATCACAACTGGTTGGGGCAACAGGGTGAGTGGTCAGAGAGTTGCTCTTGGCCTCTAAAATAGAAGTTATGAATGCTGCTTTGCATCCTACGGTACAAAAGACCCCTCTCCATAACAAATAATTTACCTGCTTAAAATGTCAGTAGTGTGATAAAACTATCAGAAGTGTAAGGTCTGATTCTGCTTGTTTCACATCAGTGTGAAATGGCAACATTTCCAAGTTAGAAAACTGCCCTTCCCACAACATTGTAGTTGTTCCAGGCCTTTGACCCATCAAGATCCTCTGTTAATGTTTTCTTTTCTTTTCTTTTTTGAGTCAGAGTCTCACTCTGTCACCCTGGCTGGAGTGCGGTAGCACGCTCACAGCCCCCGTATCCTTCAATTCCTGGGCTCAGGCAATCCTTCCACCTCAGTCTTCCAGGTAGATGAAACCACAGGCGTGTGCCACTATGCCTGGCTTGTGTATGTATGTATGTATGTGTGCATGCATGCATGCATGCATGTGTGTGTGTATGCATGTATGTATGTATGTGAATGAATGTCAGAATCTCACTCTGTTGTCCAGGCTGGAGTGCAGCAGCATGCTTATGGCCATCACAGCCTCTATCCGCTGGACCTACGTGATCCTTCCACCTCAGCCTTCCAAGTAGCTGGAACTACAGGTGTGTGCTACCACCTTCAGCTAATTTTTGGACATATTGTAGAGATGAGGTCTTGCCAAACTGCTGGAACCCCTGGGTTCAGGCAATCCTCTTGCTTTAGCCTCCCAAAGTTTTGAGATTATACACACGGCCAGTATTTTCTATATAAACTTTCAGTCTCTTTCTTTTTTTTATTTTTTTGAGTTGGAGTCTCACTCTGTCACCCAGACTGGAGTGCAGTGGCATGCTCCCGGCCACCACAACCTCGACCTGCTGGACTCCGGCGATCCTTCCACCTCAGCCTTCCAAGTAGCTGGAACTACAGGCGTGGGCTACCATGCCCGGCTATTTTTTTTAATTTATTGTAGAGATGAGGTCTCGCCAAGTTGCCTGGGTGGGTCTCGAACCCGTGGGCTCAGACAAACCACTCGCCTCAGCCTCCCAAAGTGCTGGGATTATAGGCTGAGCCACCGAGCCCAGCCCAGTCTTTTTCTTAAGCATAGAGTCTTTTAACACTTATTCTGATGTCAGTCTGACTCTACGATGCTCTACCTGCATTCAGAAAGAGAAGAGGGATCTCTAAGAGCCAGCATCTCAAGGCCCCAGGGACCTGGACACATTCCTCTTTCAATAAAGAAGGGGCTCTGGCTAGCAAAGGGGAGAACTGAAGGGAACCTAGGGCTTAAGAGCTAGAAAGAATAAACAGAATTCATGTCACCCTCTCATTACCAAAACCCTTTGAGCTGTCACCCCATGATTCTCTTCCTCTCTCCTGACAAATTTTAGTCTCTAATTTTTATTCTTCTCTTTCAATTCCATAGAAAAATTTAGAGTTTTGCCTTGTAGATTTTTATTCATGGACTATATGTACTGCTGGCAATAGATATTTTCCCCACTCAACAATGTTTTAGAGATTCTTCCATGTTAAAAATGAATCTAGGCCGGGTGCGGTGGCTCAAGCCTGTAATCCCAGCACTTTGGGAGGCCAAGGTGAGAGAATTGCCTGAGCTCAGGGCTTTGAGACCAGCCTGGGAAACTTGGTGAGACCTCGTCTCTACAATAAATCAAAAAAAAAAAAAAAAAGCCAGGTGTGGTAGCACGTGCCTGTAGTTTCAGCTACTTGGAAGGCTGAGGCAGAAGGATATATATTATTTATATTTCCTGAGGAGGAAATATAAATAACCTAAAAATATAAGAATAAAATTTCAACCTAATTAGTAAAAATCAAGGAAATACAAATTATAGAAATAATATTTTTTAACCCATCAGATTAGTAAAAAGATACAAAAGTTTCATGATGTCAAGGATTAGTGATGGTATGGGAAAATGGGAATGCTCATACATTTTGAATGACAGCTTAGATTGGCTCAGCATCTTTTTAGACAATTTGTGAATTTCTGTTGAAATTTTAAATAAGCAGTGGTTACTTTCCCCCATGCCAGCTCTAGCATGTCTCCCTTTCTTTTTCTCTTCTTTCTCTAATAAGCTCTGTTTAAAAACTTTGCAAAAAAAAAAAGTATATGTTTTAGGCCCAAACTTTACCTGTACAATGACCACTTGTATACCTAATCCTAAATAAAATAAATACATAAAAATAAGAATATCAGCATTCTCAAAAAAAAAAGTTTAAATAAGTGCACCCTTCTACAAAGCAGTTATGTTTCTTGACATCTACTACAGAGAAATGTTTTCATGTAACACAAAACGGTATGTATCAAAGTTACCATTGCAGCATTATGTTTTATAGTAAAGTAATGAAAATGACCTAAATATTCATCTACAGGGACTATTAATTAAACTGTGCTATAGTTGGGCCATGGAATGCTATGCAACACTTAGAATGAGCTAGATTCTTTTTTTCTGAGTTGGAGTCTCACTCTGTTGCCCGAGGTGAGGTGCAATGGTACGCTCACAGCCACCACAGCCTCAACCTTCTGGGCTTAGGCGATCCTTCCGCCTTAGCCTTCCTAGTAGCTGGAACTACAGATGTACACCACCACGCCTGCTAGTTTTTGTGATTTATTGTAGAGACAAGGTCTTGCCAAGTTGCCCAGGCTGGTCTCAAATCCCCAGGCTCAGGCAATCCTCTCACCTCGGCCTCTCAAAGTGCTGGGATTACAGGCTGAGCCACTGTGCCCGACTGATTGTTGGTTTTTTAAAAAATTATTTTTGATCTTCTTTATTTGTTCTTGATAGATAGGTTTTCCTGTTATCTATAGTTCAGATATTTTTGCCTAGTTAATTTCTTATCTTTTACATTTTGTAGTTATCATTCATTTTATAAATTTAAAAATATTGGTATATTCAAATTTATCTATTATTTCCTTTACAGTGTTTGAGTTTTGGATGCTAAGAAGGTTGTTTTTTTTTTTTGTGAGTTGGGTTCTCACTCACTCACACCCAGGCTGGAGTGCAGTAGTGGTACAATCATGACTCTTTTTTTTCTTCTTTTTTTTGAGTTGGAGTCTCACTGTGTCGCTCAGACTGGAGCGACCTGCTGGGCTCCGGCGATCCTTCCGCCTCAGCCTTCCAAGTAGCCAGAATTACAGGCATGCACTACCACGCCCGGCTGATTTTTTGATTTATTGTAGAGATGAGGTCTTGCTGCCCAGGCAGGTCTCGAACGCGCGGGCTCAGGCAATCCACTCACCTCAGCCTCTCAAAGGCGCGGGATTACAGGCTGAGCCACCAAGTCCGGCTCAATCACGACTCTTCACCAACAACTTCCAACTCCTGGACTCAGGTGACCTTTCCTTCTCAACCTCCTGAGTAGCTGGGACTACAGGCATGCACCACCATTCCTGGCTAATTTTTTGATTTTTTGCAGAGATGAGGTCTCCCTGTGTTGCCCAGGCTAGTTTTGAACTCCTGAGCTTAAACAATCCTCTTGCCTCAGCCTCTCAAAATTCTAGGAATACAGGTGTGAGCCACCATGCCTAACTGAGAAGGCCTCTTCTTTTCCAAACTTAAAATATGTTCTCTACTATTTTCTTCTAATATTTTTATAATTTGAGTTTATTTTGTGTTTAACTCTTTAATCCATCTGCAGCAGGCAAACTTCCTGAGCATGCAACCTGTGCAGTTGCTCAGGGCTCTGCAAATCGTGTATTAAGTAATTTTTTGTAAGGATGTGAGTTGTGTGAAGGAAGCAGTTTATAGATTCATGTGTGCTTTGGAGTCAAAGTACTTGCATTTGAATCCTGGTTACAGCACTCATTAGCTGTGTAACTTCGTGCATATTAATTTTTCTGTGCCTCAGTTTTCTCATCTTTAAAATGGGATAGTGATGGAATTCATCCTGTCAGTGTCTCACTTTGTAGCCCAGACTGGAGTGCGGTGGCTCGATCATAGCTCACTGCAGCCTTGAACTCCTGGCCTCCTCTTGCCTTGGTCTTCTTAGTAGCTGGGACTTCAGGCATGCTATGCCTGGCTAATAATTTTTTTTTTTTTTTTTTGGTAGAGATGGGGGGCGGATTCTTATTATGTTACCCAGGCTTGTCTTGAACTCCTGGACTCAAGCGATCCTTCCACCTTGGTCTTTCAGAACATTGGGATTACAGGTGTGAATCGTCACACCTGGAGGTGTGCTTATTTTAGATAAAAATGTTTAAATGTCAAGACTTACCTTTACTGTAGATCTGTCTTATACAATGCTGATCAGGTTTTGTTTTGCAGGTTCCAGAGTCTAAAATACATCCATGGAAGGGGAGTGAGAGATTGCATAGTCTACAGATCGTACCTCCAACATCTCCAAATACAGGGGCAAAAAAAAAAAAAAATTAATAAAATGAGAGGAAAGTAGTGATGGAGATCAGGAAGCGAGAAAAAGAGGAAGAGAGAAAGAGACAACCAAAAATAAAGCAGTGATTTTTGACTTTAAAAAGTAATATTTAAAAAATTAATACTAAAAACTTGCATCAATTAAAATTTTTTTTTTTAGAATTTAATGAGGGAACTTTCAAAGCCATATGCTACCTTCATGAATTGGAAGTACCCTGAACTGACAATAATCAGAAAAGAGGTCAGGTGGTCTAAACAACTCGGTTAAATTTTATTTAGTTCCTCATTGCCTACTTAAATCAAACCAAAGTTAATTTACCAGAAAATGTATTTTTAGCCACATTTTCACTGTTAGAACTTCATTTCAGTGCCTAGGGTAGCACATTATATGTCGCGGTTTCTTCATGAATATTTATTGCTTGATTAATGCTTGCGTATTGGTTATCCTTAATACTCAAATTCAGTGGCTCAGAAATATTACTCATTGGTTATATAGAGCCCAGGGATTCTTGAACTTAGTCAACATAAGTAAGGTTGGAAGACATTATGTAGAAGACTAGCATTGCTCAATTGTCTGAATACTTACACATACGTTCTCAGATTCCATTTCCTTTCTTCCAGTCTCTTTTTGTCTGAAAATTTACTGCTAATTTTATTAACATACCTATCACATAATATAGTTCAATTTGACAACTAAGTCTAATGTTTCAGATTAGATGGAAAATGAATATTTCCGTCCATAACTAATTCTTAAGTATGTTATTCTATTTATGACTTTATTAGCAGAGGAATATCTAATATATATAACCATTTAAATATGTATTATGAATCCTATTACATATAGCTATTTCAGCATATTTTATAAAGTATGATGATGGTGATTTTCTTTTTTTTGAGTTGGATGGAGTCTCACTCTGTTGCCCAGACTGGAGTGCAGTGGCATACTCCTGGCCACCGCAGCCTCACCCTGCTGGGCTCCGTTGATCCTTTTGCCTCAGCCTTGCAAGTAACCAGAACTACAGACCCGTACTACCATGCCCGGCTAATTTTTGATTTATTGTAGAGACGAGGTCTCACCACGTTGTTTGGGCGGGTCTCGAACCCACGGGCTCAGGCAATCCACTCGCCTCGGCCTCCCTAAGTGCTGGGATTACAGGCTGAGCCGCCAAACCTGGCCTGTCATGGTACTTAATAATGAGTGCAGTGTGGGAAGCGGAGGCCTCAGACTGATGGTCTGTGGGCTAGACCTGGCGTGTTTGACTTTTCAAAAATTATATTAGTTGTAAAAATTATATTAGTTGTAAAAGTTATATTGTTTTCAAAAATTATATTAGTTGTCAACATTTAAAAACTGGAAGGGTTCTACAAAGTGTGAGTTTTTGACTTCTCCTGAAGGATCAGAAGACTGGGTAATGGTGGGCTCTGCTTTTCCCATGGCAGCAAACATCTGTAGCTGGGGACCAGCTGCCCTCCTTTATAAGAAGAGCCTTTCCCCTTCTTGTATAGCTGACTGACTTCCCCCATGTATATGATTGGCCAAACACTTTAATGTATGTGAGTTGGTGATCCCAATATTTGGTACTAAGAGTCTTCAAGTTTCAATACATATGGCCCTTGACTTACAGTGGAGTTACATCCAGATAAACCCATTGTGAGTTGAAAATATCTTAAGTTGAAAATATATTTAATACATCTAACCTGCCAGCATCATACCTTAGCTTCACCGACCTTAAACGTGCTCAGATCACATACAATAGTCTACAGTTGGGTGAAATCATCTCACACAAAGCCCATTTTATAATAAGATGTTGAATATCTCATGTAATTGGTTGAATATTATACCAAAAGTTGAAAAAAAATGCTTCTATGGGTACTCAAAGTACAGTTTCTATGGAATGTTTCCTCAGTTTCCTCATCACTTTTGCACCAAGTTGAAAAATCATATGTTGAACCATCGTAAGTCGAGTACTACCTGTGTTCGAATTTTATTTATCTGTAAGCTGCTCTGTAGTTTCTTTTTACATCAGCATCACTTGGAAGTGTGTGGGAAATGCAGAATCTCAGGTCTCACTCCAAACCTACTGAATCAGACTCTTCATTTTAAAGATGCCCAGGTGACTCATATGTACAACAAACTTGTAGAATACTGCTGTAGAAGCCACCTTGTCTTGTTCCTTCCTTGGCCATCTTCTAAATCTAAGAGACCCATCTTCTGTTAACCTCTGGGTACAGCATAGAGCAGCTGTATTTATTACCATCTCACCATTTAACTGAGAGGGGGAATTCCCATTATGGTGACATGCTTGTTTAGAGACATTGTCTTTATGGACTAATAGTAACCTAATCTGAGAAGTCTTAAGAATTCTGTGAAATCTTATGTGGTCCTTCTATAAATAGAGGAATGTTGAAGTTGGTGAAAAGAGCACTTACAACAGAAAAGGGCTAGGAGACCCCAAACTATGCTCCTTTTGCTAACATTAATTACTTTGCCATGCTTCTAAGGGCTTCCAGACCAGTTTGGTTAGTTCTAGCTTGGCGATAATAGCAACATGTGGTGCACCATCTATCAGCTCAGTTTCCTCATCTATAAAATGGAAAATAGCAGCACCTAGCTTAGAGGTCATGAGGATTACATAAATTAATGAAATGAAATGTTTAGAACAGAACCTGGAATAAATAAATTTGGGTTTTTATTAATTAATTAATTAATTAATATGGGTTTTTATGAATTGAGTGCTTACTTAGGCCTTGTTATAAGCACCCAGAGGTTGAACCCTAGAGATTAACAGGTCAGAGTCTCTTAGAAGATGATTATCAAGAGCAGGTTTAGAAGGAGAGGCTTGAGAAGGTGACTTGCAAAGCAGTACTTTTCAAATTACCCTATTTAAGGCCACCCTCCACCTAGTCATATTGTAATTCTATAATTTCTTAAGTGATTTTCTTTCTGGTTGATTTATGCTTTCCTAATGACTTACCACCTAAGAGGCAGAATAAGATAAAATCACCAGCAAAGACAATCCTTTTCATTGTTAGATTTCCAGTCAGAAGATGGAAGGCAAGACACGTTCTACCATTAAAACTTTCCTGGGGAAGTAATAAAGTTACACATTTATGTTAGTCATTTAAAAAAAGGAAATGGGCTAGGCGCGGTGGCTCAGTCTGTAATCCTAGCACTTTGGGAGGCCAAAGCGAGAGGATTGCCTGAGCTCGGGGGTTCGAGACCAGCCTGGGCAACTTGGTGAGACCTTGTCTCTACAATAATTCGCAAAAACTGGCCAGGCGTGGTGGCATGTGGCTGTAGTTCCAGCTGAAAGGCTAAGGTGGAAGGAGCGCCTAAGCCCAGCAGGTGAAGGCTGCGGTGGCCATGAGTGTGCCACTGCACTCCAGCCTGGGCAACAAGAGTGAGACTCCAGCTCAAAAAATAAATAAATAAATAAAAATTAAAAAAAGGAAATGACTGGCTAAATATCATTTATTTCATGAAGATAGTACAAGTAAATTTATTTTGTAAAAGAGGAAAAGTAAGGTATCTGTTTTTATTCAAAATTCACCATAAAACTTCATAGTTCCAGAATATTTTAAGTTTTAGGTGTCTTCTTATTTACATATACGACCAATCCCTTCAATTTCCTCCTGAATTATAACTGTTTAACACAGTAATATAAAGTAAAATAAATGATGTTTGTAGAATAATAACCTGTTAGAAATGTTTTGGCCAAAAGGAAAATACGGGTATTCATTTATGCATCTTTGTTTTTTTTTTTTTTTGAGTTGGAGTCTCACTCTGTCACCCAGACTAGAGTGCAGTGGCCGCTCCCGGCCACCGCAGCCTCGACCTGCTGGGCTCCGGCAATCCTTCCACCTCAGACTTCCAAGTAACTGGAATTACAGGTGTGCGCTACCACGCCCAGCTAATTTTTGATTTATTGTAGAGGTGAGGTCTTGACAAGTAGCCCAGGCAGGTCTCGAACCCGCAGGCTCAGGCAATCCACTCACTTCAGCCTCCCAAAGTGCTGGGATTACAGGCTGAGCCACCGAGCCTGGCTCATCTTTGTTTTTTTAATTAAAAAAAATTTTTTTTGTAGAGACAAGGTCTTGCTATGTTGCCTAGGCTGGTCTTGAACTCCTGGGCTCAAGCAATCGTCTTACCTTGGCCTCCCAAAGTGCTGGGATTACAGACAAGAGCCCCCGAACCCAACCTTATTTATGCATCTTTATGAACTAGTATTTTCATTGCAAAAGATCATATTTATGAGGAAAAGCATTATATAATAGTTAACAACAGTTAATACTTATTAAAATGAAGGTGACGGAATTGTCAGATTGAGTAAAATATCACATTTCAGTTCTTCACAACCTACCTATCTTCTTCAAGAAGTGCTGTGGGAATTTGCCTGGGTCTGACCTTTAAAGGGATAAGAAGTAAAGTTTCCAGTTTAAGTCTGTTATAACTGAAACCAACATTCTGATTCACTAGATTCCAAACGGTTAAAGCAGTAAAAATGGCCCAAGTAAACTGCACAATTTTTCACTTAAATACTCTGATCTCTATGAAACTTAATTCCCTTACTCATGAAATTAACATAGTAAGACTGTTAGCCAGTAGTTTAAATGGACTAACTGTAAGTTTTGCTGGGCTTAGGCGAGCCTTCCAAGTAGTTAGAATGACAGATGCATGCCACCATACCCAGCTAGTTTTTGTGATTTTTTTTTTTTGAGTTGGAGTCTCACTCTGTCTCCCAGGCTGGGAGTGCAGTGGCACACTCATAGCCATCACAGCCTCGACCTGCTTGATTCAGGCGATCCTTCCACCTCAGCCTTCCAAGTAGCTGGAACTACCATGCACGGCTAATTTTTTGATTTATTGTAGAGATGAGCTTTCACCAAGTTGTCCAGGCTAGTCTCAAACTCCTGGACTCAGGCAATCTTCTTGCCTTGGGATCCCAAAGTGCTGGGATTACAGGCTTCAGCCACCATGCCCGGCCTAGCTAAAGATTTCTATGTTTACTATATGCTCCAGTTTAGTGAGTTCAGATGTACATAGCCATATGGGCAAAAAGTACTGGTCTTGGTTTTTAAAAAAATTAAAATTAATCATTATTAGAGCAGAACTTGGTGCATTTAGAAAACCATTTGATTTTTTATTGTTGTTTGTTTTTTGAGTCAGTGTTTCAATCTGTCACCTAGGCTTGAAGTGCAGTGGATATCACAGCTCATCTCAGGTTCCAGCTCCTGGGCTCAGGTGATCTTTCCACTTCAGCCTCCTGAGTAGTGGGGACTACAGGCGTGTGCTACCTTTTTTTGTAGAGGTGAGGTCTTTTAATGTTGCTCAGGTTGGTCTTGAACTTCTGAGCTCAACCCATCCTTATACCATGGCTTCTCAAAATGCTGGGGTTACAGGCGTAAACCACTGCGCCTGGCCTGATTTTTTAAAAATAATATTTATTTTTCAAATAATACATAGTCTTAAATCAATACATTTTTCTTAACACAAGAGAAAATGTTAAGAATGTTAAAATACCTTTTAACAATGTTCCCAACAAGCCCAATATCTACCCCAAATGTAACTACATTATCAATATGTTAGGCATCTTTTTTTTTTTTTTGAGTTGGAGTCTCACTTCATTGCCCAGACTGGAGTGCAGTGGCTGCTCCCGGCCACCGCAGCCTCAACCTGCTGGGCTCCAGCTATCCTTCCCTCAGCCTTCCAAGGAGCTGGAACTACAGGCGTGCGCTACCACGCCCGACTGATTTTTTATTTATTGTAGAGATGAGGTCTCGCCAAGTGGCTCGGGTGGGTCTCGAACCCGCGGGCTCAGGCAATCCACTCACCTCGGCCTCCCAAAGTGCAGGATTACAGGCTGAGCCACCGAGCCCAGACAATCTTTTTTTTTAAAAAAAAGAATTTCCTATAGTTTATTCAAGGGTATCCTTTTTATTCTGTGATATACTTGTAACATGTGAGTGTGTATAATATTGCTTTCTATTTTTGCAAAAATTATATCATGCTCTCTATTTTTTCCCCTTGAATTTTACTCAAAAATATATTGAAAATATTTTTGTCAGTTTTTCAAACTCTTTCATTATTTTTTTATTGCTGTATGAAATTTCCTGGTATGGATACACCATAATCTATTCGGCCATTCTCAGGTTGGTGAGCACATAGGTTCTTTTTTTTTTATGACAAGCAATATTGCAATGTGTGTACATGTCCTTGGGTACATAGGCAAGTTGTTTCTTTAATACAGATCCTGAAAAGTGGGGTTTCTTGTCCCAGGGTTTGTTCACTTAACATTTTATTTTATTTTATTTTATTGAGTTGGAGTCTCACTCTGTCATCTGGCTGGAGTACAGCGGCACGCTCCCGGCCACCGCAGCCTCGACCTGCAGGTCTCAGGCTATCCTTTTGCCTCAGTCTTCCAAGTAGCTGGAACTACAGATGCATGCCACCACACCCGGCTAGTTTTTGTGATTTATTGTAGAGATGAGGTCTCTCCAAGTTGCCCAGGCTGGTCTGGAACCCCTGGGCTCAGGCACTCCTCTCTCCTCGGCCTCCCAAAGTGCTGGGATTACAGGCTGAGCCACTGTGCCTGGCCTGCTTAACATATTAAAAGATATTATCAAATTGTCCCTGAAAGTAGCTATATTAATGTTCCCATCCACTGGAGAGTATAAGTACTTTTTCACCATACCCTCTTAATACAGAAAAGAAGATTTGTACTGGATGAGTTGGCTCATGCCTATAATTCCAGTATTTTGGGAGGCAGAGGCGAGAGGATTGCCTGAGTCCAGGGGTTCAAGACCAACCTGGGCAACTTGGTGAGACCTCGTCTCTACAATAAACCAAAAAAATTAGCCGGGTGTGGTGGTGCTTGCTGTGGCTCCAGCTATTTGGAAGGCTGATGTGGAAGTATCAACTGAGTCCAGTAGGTGAGGCCGCAGTGGCCATGAGTGTGCCACTGCACTCCAGCCTGGGTGACAGAGTGAGACTCCTACACACACACACACGCACAAATTGCAAAATTATATTAGTGGCCTAATATTTAAAATAAAATATTTTACTTATCAAGTTGGCAAAGAGGGGAAAAAGGACATTATTATTGATGAATGGTGCTCTGAAATAAGCACTTTTAGTCGCAGTGTGGGGAAATGTAAATAAATATGAGTGTGTGTATTAGTACATATATTAGTGCCTATATGCACATATATACATGCAAACATAATTTTTGTTACCCCCATAGCTATAGCCTTGTGTCTGCTATTTTTAAAACTTATATTTAGAATGTTTATTTCATCATTAGGCTGGGCGTGGTGGCTCACTCTTGTAATCACAGTACTTTGGGAGGCTAAGACTGGACGACTGCACTTGAGTGCAGGAATTGCAGACTAGCCTGGGCAACGTAGTGAAACCTCATCTCTACAAAAATAAAAAAATTAGCTGAGTGTGGTGGTGCATGCCTGTAGTTCTAGCTACTCAAGAGGCGACTCAAGAGGATCGCCTGAGCCCAGGGGGTCAAAGCTGCAGTGAACTGTGATAGCGCCACTGCACTCCAGCCTGGACAACAGGGTGAGACTCAGAAGCAAAAAAAAAAAAAAAAAAAATCCTCAAGAATATACTTTTCAAGCTTCTGTAATATTCAACTGTAGGACTTACTACAACTTATTTAATAGCTCTTTCATGTTTGGAAATAATTTTTCATTATATTTTTATTAGTGCTTAAACATTTCCTTAAGGTAAATTCATAGAAATGGAATTCTTGGAACAAAACATAAACTTTTCATAAGCCTTTTGATACACCTTGGCAAATTATTTTCTATAAAGGTAATACCAATTTAGAACTATAATGCGGCATATTTATTTTCAAATCTAGTGCTTAGCACTGTGTTAAGATCACAATAAACATTCAATTAATGCTACTTTTTCTTCTATTTTTTTGATGTTTTTCTTTCTTTTTTTCTGAGTTGGAGTCTCACTTTTGTCACCCAGGCTGGAGTGCAGTGGCATGCTCACAGCCACCATCGCCTCTACCTTCTGGGTTCAGGCGATCCTTCTGCCTCAGCCTTCCAAGTAGCTGGAACAACAGGTGCACACCACCATGCCTGGCTAATTTTTTGATTTATTGTAGAGCTAAGGTCTTGCCAAGTTGCCCAGACTGATCTCAAACCCCTGGGCTCAGATGATCCTCTCACCTTGGCCTTCCAGAGTGCTGGGATTATAGGCGTGAGCCACTGCACCTGACCGGATGTTTTTCTTTTATTTAAATATCTCCATTACAAATTTGTCTTTGGCCCTAATGAGTCACTATTAAAAGTTTATTTTCTTGAATGAAAGTGATATTATCTCATTAGTCAACCAACAAGCTTACATCCCTGAATATACAAACTTTTAAGTATTAATCATGAGAATATTTTTTATCTATATCCCCTTTCTTTAGTGAGAATTTGTCTTCTGACACCTTCTCACTGATAACTATAGGAAATAGCTTTTGGTGAAAGCGAAGAAATCAAGGAGTATGGCCCTGAAAGTGGCCATTGGGTATCTTGGAATTTGAGTGTGGGCATTTCCATCTGAGATGTTCTAGGAAAAGTGGCTGGATACAAAATAATTACTGCATGATTCCATTGAACGTATGGAGTCTAAGAACCGGCAACACTAATGTATAGTGATTTAAGGATAGAATAGTGGTTATCTCTGAGGAGGAGGACTCACTTAGGAAGGGGAATGATGAAGTTTTCTAGGTTGAGGAAAATGTCCTGTATTTGTTCTGGGTGATGGACACCTGTGTTTGTGCAAATATAAAATGTTACTGAGCCACACAACTGAGATATATGCATTTTAAGAAATAATACCATCAGGGTTATATATTTCTTCATTCTCATCATTAGGGATAATTCAGTGAAAAATTCTTTCAAACATCTTTGTATAAATTAGGGATTTACTGAATGGTGTTAAGCCTGGGAGTGACATTATTAATTCAGTAAATATTTATTTAGTCTCTGCTATGTTCCAGAAAAGCTAATTTTATTTTATTTTTCATTTTTTTTTGAGTTAGTATCTCACTCCGTCACCCAGGATGGAGATTAGTGGCATGCTCTTGGCCACCCCTGTGTCAACCTGCTGGGCTCAGGCGATCCTTCTGCCTCAGCCTTCAAGTAGCTGGAGCTACAGGCGAGCACTACTATGCCCAGCTAAATTTTTGATTTATTGTAGAGACGAGATCTTACCAAGTTGCTGGTCTCCAACCTCTGGGTTCAGGCAATCCTCTTGCCTTGGCCTCCCAAAGTGCTAGGATTACAGGCTTGAGCCACCACGCCCATCCCTATTTTAATTTTTTAAGAAAAGCATTCTGGTAGAGGAGTGAATGTTAGGTTGGCAAAGGTGGGACTGGATGCAGGGAGAAAGTTAGGAAGGTGTTGCACTAGCTCAGTCAAGAAATGGTAAAGTCTGGAACCTGGGCAGACTCAGAAGAGATGGCAGAGAAAAAAAAAAGAGAGAAATGCTAAGGACTAAGTGTTCAGCATCTTAACCCCTAATAGCCTGTGTATGAGGCAGCAGCTTAGTCTTTTTTTTTTTTTTTTGAGTTGGAGTCTCACTCTGTTGCCCCGGCCACCGCAGCCTCTACCTGCTGGGCTCTGGCGAGCCTTCCGCCTCAGCCTTCCAGGTAGCTGGAACTACAGGTGTGTGCTACCACGCCCGGCTGATTTTTTGATTTTTTTGATTATTGTAGAGATGAGGTCTCGCTGCCCAGGCGGGTCTCGAACCCGCGGACTCAGGCAATCCACTCACCTCAGCCTCCCAAAGGCGCGGGATTACAGGCTGAGCCACCGAACCCGACTAGAAGCTTAGTCTTAATCCTTTTACCTCTAGCACTCCACTTACCCCTTTATTTTATTACTATTATTTTTTGAATTGGAGTCTGACTCTGTCACCTAGACTGGAGTGCAGTGGCCACTCCCGGCCACCGCAGCCTCCACCTGCTGGGCTCTGGCGATCCTTCCGCCTCAGCCTTCCGAGTAGCTGGAACTACAGGTGCGCGCTACCACGCCTGGCTAATTTTTGATTTATTGTAGAGATGAGGCCTTGCCAAGTTGCCCAGGCAGGTCTTGAACCCGCGGGCTCAGGCAATCCACTCACCTTGGCCTCCCAAAGTGCTGGGATTACAGGTTGAGCCACTGAGCCTGGCCCACTTACCCTTGAAAAGAATGATCTCTTCATATCCTCTCTCACCAGATCAGGAACTTCTGAAGTGAAGAAATGCCATCTTGGTATTTCCAGTTTCCAGCAGGATGCCTGGCACAGTATAGGTGTTTGATAAGTGTTTGCCAAATAAATGGGATATCTTGGAGGGAAAGAAGATTAGGGAAAAGAATCCCAGAATAGTATGGGGATAAGAATCTGTGAGAAGAGTAAGGGACATTGGGTGCCAAGGAAGAATGTGAGGTTGGACAGACTCTCCTTGGCCTGGTTCAGGCTATGGTCCCAGGGGGTGATTTAGGCCTGAGGGGATGAGCAGATTCCAGTTTTTTTCTAAAGGTTGCTGAATTGTTTGGCTGCCTGTTAAGACACTTCTCCCAGCAGTAGGAAGAAAGAATTAGATGGTCTCTAGGATGCAACCTTCCCAGTGAAATCCTACAATCCAAGCTAGCAATGAGTTCAGAGTCTTTAAATTTGGATAGGCTGGAGTACTTCTCCAGGCAAATCAGGATACAGTTGTCTCCTTCCCTGGATGGTCACCTCTGTGACCAATACAAAGGCCCCTAGTGATCTTAAGTCATGTCATCATCCTGGGCATTAATGTCCTCATATCCAGAATGAGGGGACTGGATTATAGAATTCTGTGGTTCTATCGACTCATAAGTGTGGTGGCTGTTTTTTTCCTCCAGTTGTTAGCAGAATGAGAAGTTTCAAAGTCACAGCTTAGGTAAGACCTTCTTAGTAGCAGGAAATGACATTTTGTAGTTTATGAACCTTGATTTTTCATTCATAAGTAAGAGTGCATTTGCATGTACATGTGCTGATGCCTGTTGCTGTGGATACACAGATGCACATATTGCAGAGTCACCAGTGAGTCATCGTTAGGGTACCTTCCCCTATTTTCTGGTAGATATTGTGATAATAAAAAAGTGCGAAGGTGCATAATTTTAATTTTATGCCTGAGAGGGTAAAAGCAGTGTTTAAAAGGAGTTTAATACTGTGTAGTATTGCAAGAGGAGTGACTTACCTGTGAAATCATTGTCATCATTGTCTCTGTTGATGATTAATAATGAATTATATTGCTTTGAAGCTAGAAAACATTGCCAACAGCCTACTTGCATCTAGACCTGGCAAATGCTTTTCTTTTTCCAAGTGTGGTGTAAAAATTTACCATGTCTTATGGATGACTCTGACTTGTCTAGCTTAGAGAGAAGTCCCCATTTTATCATTTCTCATTCCTAATCCTACAAGATGCTTTGAATTAAAAAATGTCACACTGACAGGTAAGTTTGAAAACAAGCTTCTATGATATTCTCTAATGAAAGACATAAATGTGTTTTGGAATGTTAAAAGTTCTGAGACATTCTGAGCCAAAGAAACTGTCTTTTAATCTTATATTTCCTGAATGCACTTGACCAGCTGGTACTTGTTTTCTTTTAATGTTTCTTAATATCCTGAAAAATAAGTTCTGATCCAAATAATGTCCTGCTAATAACCATAGTCATCATAATGGTAACGATAGCATGCAATAATCTCTCACTTTATACTTTGCAAAGCTTGTTTGGCTTCATGATTACCTTTAAAAAGCCTTCTGATATTAGAGATAGAAACTATTTTTATTCCCATTTGAGGAATTCGGGTTCAGAGAGATTACAGATTTCCTTGATATGACACAATGAGTCAATGGTAGACTAGGAACAGGAAACATCCAAATGTCCTCATTATTCATAATGTTGCTTTCTAAAATATACATAAAGTAGAGATTATGAACTTCCAGTATGGATATGAATATTGTAATTTATATGCAGTAGTAACCAGAACCTATAGTAGTTTACAATTCTAAAAAAAATTTCAATTTCAGATATGGTCATTTTTTCATTTATTCAAATAGTATTTATTGTTCTACTGTGTGTCAGGTACTACACAAGTATAGCAAAAACCAAGATTAACGATAGCTGGCATTAAGTTTAAATTCTATTGGGAGAGAAAGAAAATCAGAAAGGGGCCGGGAGTGGTGACTCATGCATATAGTCCCAGTACTTTGGGAGGCTGAGGTGAGAAAATTGCCTGAGCCCGCAGGTTCGAGACCAGCCTAGGCAACTTGTTGAGACTTTATTTCTACAATAAATCAAAAAATTAGCTGGGTGTGGTGATACGCACTTGTGATTCTGGCTCGTTGGAAGGCTGAGGTGGAAGGATTGCCAGTCCCCAGCAGGTTGAGGCTGCAGTAGCCGGGAGTGTGCCACTGCCCTCCAGCCTGGGTGACAGAGTGAGACTCCAACTCAAAAATAAATAAATAAATAAACAAATTAAACAAAAAATAAAAAATCAGAAAGGGTAAATATATAATATAAACAAATAAATAAAATAATATCAAATAATGATAAGGGCTATAAGAAAATAAAACAAGGAAATGTGATAGTGGTGATGGATAGGAAATATCCATCAGTGCCTCAGCAGGTGTTATCGACTGCATTGTGTCCCCTCTGCCTCCAAATTCACATGAGATTCCAACCCCCCTCTTCCTCAGAATGTGATCTTATTTGGAAATAGGGTCATTGCTGATGTAATTAGTTAGGAGAAGTCATTAGGGGAAGTCCTGATTCAATAAAACTGATAACCTTATAAAAAAGGAGACATTTAGAGCTGGGCTCGGTGGCTCAGCCTGTAATTCTGCGCCTTTGGGAGACTGAGGTGAGTGGAT